TTTGCACATTCACACTCTTAAAAGAATAATGTACTTTGCTTGAGACACGCGTCATTTATTTCCCCTGCATAAATCAGAGCCTGTGCATTGCTCCAAGTTCACCAGAGCTTCCACACGGGTTAAACCACCCGCTGCAGCAAGAAGGATTCACTGATTAAACTCAAGTGCACACAATAATTTGTGCTGTATTGCAGAACACTGTCCTTTTCTTCCCCTGGGCCAACCGTGACGCTGCCACTTAAATTCATGCTTTCTCAGCAGGAGTCCAGTCCTGCTGCCGCGGTGCACGGGTAGCTGTGCTGCCCACTGCACATTCGCACCTTCGCTCCAGCAGTCAGGGCAGCAACAGCCCGGCTCAGCTCTGGGGCTGTCACTGCCTCCTATCACCTCCCGCGGCTGCTGGGCACCACTTGCTGGCAACGGGCTATGCTTTGGGGCAAGGGAGAATTAGGTAAGGAAGGAGGCAGAGGGATCGAAAAGCAGGGCTGGAAACAGCAGGGAAAACACAAGATTCAGAGTTTAGCGCCTCCCTCCCAGGTGCACTGGGAGGCTCCTACAATCCCCGTTGGCACAGGGAGCACTTCCATACGAGCCCTGGGCTGCTCAGATGCCCGAGGGACATGGCTGCAGGGAAGCATCTGAGTCTGTCAGGCAGATCTACACATCTCGGCCAATGTAAACACCCCTCCTGCACATGCTGTAAAACGTAAATACTATTTGGCAAAAGGATTACTGGATTGTACTCTCCAGCAGGTAATAAAAGTTTAATCCATTCTAACGTTTGCAGGCAGGGTTGCACCAGCTGAGATGCCTTACGCTGCTTACTGGAGAGGTCCACAGAAATAGCGAAAATAACATAAAAAAATGAAATGCTCATCAAAAATTGATTTCTTGTCCACTATCGAATGCTACCGTGAGCTACTTTCACTTGGGAGCTAGCAACTGATGTTCAGGCTTGGGCTGAACATCATCATCAGAAAATACTCCTGCTGCTGTGGCAGTAATGAGCACACTGCAGGCTGCCCTGCACATTCTCCTGCACCTTCCTTCCACTCAAGTTACTGATCTTTAAGGTAAGAAGTTGAAAGCGTTGCATGGGCAGAGAAACCCAGAGAATGTCACGAACACAGTCACAGCCCTGGCCTTGGCACAGGAGCTGTGTGGAGGCTTTTCCGAATGGAGCCACTGCAGCAGCACCAGCTCCTCGGCCCAGCTGGTGTGTGCGAGGCTCAAGCTGCCTTTACCAGGGTGGCACTGGGGGACAGATGCTGGTACTGGTACCAACAGCTGACCCCACAGGTGAACACCAGCATGGCAACTGGGGCAGGCAAAGGCATGCAGACCCAGGGCTGGCATCATAGCCAGCTGGTGCAGGGACATGCAGGTGTCACACAGACAAGACCAGCAGATTCAGTGCACAGCTCTGAATGGAGATGCTTTCTGCCTGCTCTCTCAGGTGTTGGCATCCTGCTTGCATTAAGAGCACCAGGAAAACAGCCCTGTGCCATCAGCTGGGACTCAAGTGATCTCTACTAAAAGCCTCCCATGCTGCACAGCCTGATTTTACTTCCAGAGCCGGCAGAACAAAGTGTAATGCTTCAAAATATATATATATACAATTAATTTCTGTTGAATGCTTTTCTTGGACAAAGCAATCACGACCTTCCAATAATGTTTTCCTTAAAGTGTCAGCCCTGAAAATCTGCATCAGTTCCACATGGCACATCTTAAAAGCCTGAATTACTGCTAAATTCCATTTGTGATCTCTGAAGCAGAGGCTGACATCAACGTGCTTTCTGCTGCAGACATGGATTGATTCATCTCTGCCCAAAAGCATGCTCTGTGGGAATGCTAACACTAAGCCTGGCATTAAAAATAAACTTGGAAGCAGCAGTATGTTGTTTATAAGAAGAGTGTTCTTTATAAATGGTCTTGCCATTAAGTAAGCAAGTGTTAATACTAATGTCATCCACTGCCGGTTCTGCAATCTTCACGCTCCAGGCCAAGCAAAAAACTTCCGCTCAAGCCTCCCTTGGCAAGAAGGACCCTTGCAAACCTCTTAGGGCAGAATACTTCAGAAATGCTACCAACTGCAAACCAACCCGACTTCAGCTTCTGAAAGAAAATGATGCAGAAACCTAATAAAGGCTGTGTTTATGGGACAGGCAAAAAATCAGCAACCCGATGGTGCTGCAACACAACAAGCTGAAAGGAACAACCCAGCAAACACACATGTTGTGTAACCCAGTCATCAAACTAGGAGACATTTGGGGTAAGCAGGTAAGAAACTTTTTCCCATCTGGAATCTAGCCAACAGCACTCCTGCTCAGCGGGAACCTTCAACAACAGGATGCAAAGACCACACATTTCCAATTACTGAGTTCCAACAGCCTCTGTTACCTTTAACAGAAGAAAAAACTCTCTCCTCCACTTTCATCTGTTTAAAAACAACCCGCTGATTTAAACCTCCCACCAGTCCAACAAATGCTGGGCTTCCAATCCATACCAGCCATCTGCACTCTCTTCTGGCCATGAAACCACCAACAGCCATCAAAAAAAGACCTGTCTGAAAAAGCAAAACCCACTGTGGTAAAAGGCAGCCAGTAAACCACACGGGAGAAAATCAAGTGCAGCCGAGCACATGGAAGGTCTGGGGAGGCCCAACCTGTCCAGCAGCCTCCAATGCACAAAGATGCTCCCCATGGTCTCTGGGGATGTTGCAGTGGGGAACGTTTTGCTTGATGCTTCATGGGGAGGTGAGTGCCTGAGGATGCCCGAGAAATTGGGCCAGTGCACATCCCTGCTTTTTGTGCTTGAAGAAGCTCCGTTGCAAACGATTCAGTCCGTGGGGTTCGGACAGGCACTTGCAAAGGGCCCACCGCTGCATACAGGCTGTAGCAATGCAGGGCAGCAACTAAACCAGGGGAAAAGGAGAAAACTGCAGCTTTTCTAGAGCCTCTGTGCCTGGTGCACCAAACCAAGGAGGAACAGGATGCTCCAGAATGAAGAGGCAGAGCAGACGCAAAGAAAGGGGGATACCGTGCTGGGTCTTGCCTGCTTGCAGTGAGTGGAAAAGCCACAACTTAGCCCCAAGCCAGCTGTTCTGCTGCCCTCTGTTAAAAACGCATAGAGAAATCCAGACAGTGTATCTAAGTATTCATATTGCCTATATACTTGAATTAAAAATATATGGTGAATACATGTAATGCATACAGCGCTTACTACATATATACACACACACACACAGAGTGTGTGCTTAGGGTATACACGCATGTACTCACGCAGCATATATTAACCTATATTGCTCAAGTATATACGCTATGTACAGTATAGAGCCATACGAACATAAACCACAGGTATTTATATATGTGTACAATAAAGTCATACTAAGTATTTCTATGTAAACACTATACAATTATATGAACATACACACGCACTTGCACAGTTGAAAGGAATCTGCAGACAAAATCTAATCAGAAAGAAAAGGGGAGGGGAGGACAAAAAGACTATGCAGTACCACAGTCAACATGACAAAAGTTTAAATTTCTAAGAGCAAAAAAAGGCCTCAGAGAAACTGGGAAGGCGACTGAGCATGATGCTCGCCCTGCCCACCTTCCTGCAGGGATAGAACCGCGTTTCGGTGCTCGGTGAAGTTTTTTGCAAGGAGACAGAGGGAGCCAAGCGGGATGCAGAGCAGGGCCTGCCGAGCTCAGGTCATCTCTGATGAGCTCAGCAGCCACGGGACAAACCCAGTTCCCCAACAGGAGGCTGTGCTGGCCGCCAGGCCAGGCGCGCTGGGGCGCAAACCCAGGGCTGAGTTCACTCATGTCCCTCGCTTGTCTCTACAGCGCTGCCGAATGGGCTCCGTGCCACCGATGCTCACACACAGACATGATCAGAGTAAGGCATTAAAAAAAACCCCTTCAATTTCTCCCTCACCCTGACATTTTGCAATGATCCCAGCCACGTGCTGCGCTTCCACCACCATCCGAAACAACCTTCCTGGGTTGCGAGACACAAAGAGGGAGGAAAGAGAGAGAAGGAGAGATGGGGATGGCCGCGGTACAGAGGCCCTGCGCAGTGCTTTGCCCTGGATGACTGAGTCTTACAGGCGAGGGTTTTAATGACAGCACATCAAGCGGCCCTGTGAAGAGCATTAAAGTATCCCAGGGTCATCCACTGACTTCACAAATTTAAGGCTGACTCTCTCAATAAATTAAAAAAAAAAAAACTTTAAAGAATTGCCATCTAAAGTAGCCTGAGTGCAAAGTTCAAAAAAAAAAGAAAAAAAAAAAAAAAAGTTTTCTCTTTCTCTTAAGGCTCAGTGAAGTTGCTGCTCGTTTCAAGTAATCCCTTGCCATCGATGCCGTGAGAGCAGCACTAGTGCACAGGGAGGGCTCCAAGGCGAGCAGCGGCTAACGAGTGGCTCCCGCGCTAGGTTAAGCCTGGGGGCACAAAGCCAGCCCTGTCCCCTCCACGCACCCACCCCGGTGAGAGCACCCCGCGCCGGCATGGACCAAAGCAGTGCTCCAAGGAAACCCCTGGAGATGCACTGGGCCACACCTGGGAGAAAACCTTTCCCCAGGGGCCTGGAGTGGATAAGGGGTGATTCCGACACGCCATGGAAAGGAACAGCAGAAACACTCCTTGGGAAAGCATGTTGGCTCCTCAGCTTTAACTCCGTCAGGGTCCACCTAGGGAAGCTCCCCACGCTTATGCCTACGGCCGCTCTGCTGCCCTGTCCCGCCACACGACATCCCCGAGGAGCTGAAGCTCTGGTCCGGAGACCAGGACAGTGCAGCCCTTCCTGCTCCGCCACGAGCAGCGAGGGGAGACCTGAACGGCGAGACGCGGGTGGAGGATGCGTCGACATGTCCCACATGTGGGAATAAACCACAGAGATATCAGGGGTGCTTGTTCTCTGCCTCTGGATTAATGCAAAGCCCTGGCTGAAATCTGCTCTGTGCAGGCTTGAGAAAACCTTGTTAGAAGTTGTCTCAACTAAAGCTGGGATGCCCTTATCAAAACTATAAGACCTGGAATTTATTAGTGACAAAAATGAGGAGGAAAGAAGTCTTGGAATGCAAGAAATCCTTGGATGCTTAACCGCAAAAGCAGCTCCTCTGAATGCAGCCTCTCCGTTTCATGGCTCCTCGCGCCCAACAGCTCCTGCCTTGCGCCGGGCTTGCTCCCTGCTCAGGTCTCAGCTGTGCGGGGCAGGATGGCCACAAAGCCAGGGCTGCCTCAAGCCGGCCTGTGCTTTCGGTCCTTGTGGAAGTGTGAAAAACTGCACGGAAACAGGCTCGAGGAGGCTGGAGGTGGGATGCATCCGTGCGCTGCCGAGCCCAGGGATGCGCGGGGGTAAAACGGACCCCAGAGCAGCTGGGCTCCCTCTGACTGGGTGACAGGAAGGACTTGGGACAGCAGAAGGGCAGAAAACAGCTAAAATAGCAGCATTTCAGAGCAGAGAAGCATCCCCAGGGCATCACCCACTGGGAAATATTGCAGTGACGCATCGTCCAGGCTTGCTCCAGGAAAGAAAGGGGGAAAAAAGGGGTCCAATTCAGACAAAAAGGATATTCTCTCCTCCCACAGTCTGGTTTTGCCAGGGGAACCCAAACCCGGCTGCCCTCCTATTGCAACGTGATGGCAAGGGACGGCCTTGGGAACGCTGGGCATCCCGCGCGGCTCCTCGCACCGGCAAAGCAGGCAGCTGACCTCGCACCTCGGAGCTGTAACACCAGGAAACCATCCAAACGCCCTTGTCTCCTGCCCGTCATCCATAAGGAAATTTAATAAAATAACAATAATAATAATAATAATTAAAACAAAGGCTTATTGGAGCTATTTCTGCTCATCTTTCCACAGTCTATTTTCATGTCACGCGGGAATCAGATTTTTCAAGAAATACTGTGAGAAAAAAAGAATAATAATAATAATAACAATAATAATAATAATAATAATAATAAAAAGCATCTGGAACCAGCTCAGAAGACTTCTAATGCTTTTCAGCTTGACTGACTTGGAGTGCATTGACCACACCGTTTATATTTTCTTCAGGTACCTGCAAGGAAACAAAAAAATGGAAAGTCACATTTTCAGCAAAAGCCAGGGAAGGAAAACAACAAACACCAGGCTAAAGCAGCTCTCAAGGACATGAGTACTGGTTGGCACCTCAGCTGCTCCAACAGACCTACCTTTCCAGTTCAAGAGTGGTCACAAGGGTTTGCTGCCCCATATGCTAGTGCCCTTCTCTCCTGCTGGTCATTTGCTGGTGGTAGGAAGACCCACACAGCGGAGTTTAGCACTCACGTCTTGTTATCCCACCTTGCCAAAGAAATTTAACCACATAAAATGTCCTTGTACAAAATTACTACTGTGTCTTTCACACTTACTGCAAGAAAATAATCCCAAGTAGGAGAAGATGCATGTGCCTGTTCTCAGAGCAACTGCCACGTACACACACGAGTACCATGAGCAATGTTACATCGGGCAGCAAAGAGGCGTCAGACCATGATATAAAGTCAAGCAAAACACTGGAGGGACAGGCAGCTAACAACTCTTCAAGGAAAGGAAAGTGGAAATGAGACTAAGGGGAAAATAAATGATCTGTGAGATGTCACAGGAAGCCAAAATAATTCATATCAAGTTGAGGAAGGGACTGCCTCCTATGCATGGTCTGAGAGCCCTTTGCCAGAGCACAATGCCTGGATTCATCAGACACCCTTTTGAGTTCCTACAGTGCACACAGTTGTACTGTGATTTTCTGCAAGGCTTTTAAAAAACTGAGAGAAAAATACAGGAGGAATAACAAGAACTTCCAATTTTCCACTGCAGCAAGGGAGCCAACAGCGCTCATAACGTGTGAGCAAAGTGGAGAAAAGTCCTGAGAACTCTATAGTTAGCTCTTCCCAATGAAGAAGCAAATCTCCATCGTATGAAATAGGTCTATGAGACAGGAACATCTCCTGCTTTTCCATCAGTTTCCCCCAGCATCTTGAAGACTAGGCTAGAAACAGCTGTGTGACTGCTTGCTCCTCCTGAAGATAATGGGAAAAGACAAGGGAATCAATTTTGCAAAACAAATTTTTGTAGCCATGCCCATCAGACATCAAGCGTGTCTCTGTTTATAGTCCTTCAGTGCAACACGGCAGCAAACGAGGGCAGAACAGACCAGTTCTGGCCTATTGGCTTTGAGGGGAATGGGTCCACCTCCCTGCTTACATGGAATGGGATGAACCTGCACTCACTGCAAAATGCATGACTCAAAGGCAAAGCAATGATATCACACAGTGAAGGTTTGGGCTGCATTTTCTCTGGGACAGGGTTGCAAACACTTCTAGTTGGTTTAATAAATCCTGGTTTGTCACTGGTAGTAAAGACCCATCTCTCTTCTGGCCCTCAGAGTCCTCTACACTAGTGCAGCTGGGATGACTTGTCAGCCAGAGGGCAGAAAAAAGCATCTACTATGAAAGGCAAAATAAAGCTCCAAATGGCATTGCAGACGCTTTGGCTTCATCCTTATTAGATGCAAAATCCTCGTGAAGAGCAGCACCTCCAAGCATGAGGCAGTGAGAACAGAGCACCAGCTGGAAAGAAGAGAAATCTTCCCACTAGCTCTCTCCAGCTGTACCCCAGAGGGAGCTGAAACCACAGCTGCTTCCAGCCAGACCCTACATCGCCCTAAGGACCTACACCAGGGACATGGAGGGTCCCAGCGTGGCCCTCTCTTCCAAAGGGATTTCCACTCCAGTGCAGCAATCCAATCCTGGCCTTGAATTTCCAGGACCATGGAAACTCCTACAGCTACAGCATGCCAGGATGAGTCTCTGTTAACACCCAGGACATGTAAAAAAATGCCATCAACAAAAAAAATAGCTTAAGACACATGAGAGAAAAAAAAAACAGGTCAGAAGGGAGTAAGAAGTTTTTATAAAATGCTCTTACTGGTTGAAAGCAGGCGCTGAACAACCAGAAAGAAAGGGAGTATGTAGTAAATGGACTCAAGAGGCATTTAAATCTTGAGAAATTTTGCTAGAAGTCAAAGGGCCTGAAGAGCAAAGAGGAAGGGTGAAGTTAGGGAAATCATGCAGGAATTGACTGAGTCTTGGCCAACAAATCCCATGTAGAGCAAGCAAGCATACAGCCCAGTCACAGCTTCTGCAGCAGCGTTTGCCATGGGAGTGCTTGGAATGCACCAGCACTTAATGTATTTTGGTAGGAAAGTTTGACAGCTAGGATAGTCTTGCTCATATGAAAAGGCATTTCCAACTGCAAGGAAAGAAAACAAATCACAGGGAAAACGATTTGAGCACAAAAGATCTGCAGACCTTCCTACACGGCCCCTACGCTGCCCTGAACATCTGCTGGAGCTGAGAACTGCCAGCATCAGATGCAGAAAGCTGAAACACATTGAAAAGGCCAAGCCGCCTGTGGAGTCATCACACTTGGATGGTGCAAGTCTTAAGTGAAATATCTGTTTTAGCTGGCAGAGATTCGCTCTCCAGATATCACCTGACAATTAGAAGCACTCTGCCCTGCACACAGCATGCATCTGGGGCCACAGCAACAGGCAGGAATGCGAGGCAAAGTTAACAGTATTGATTTTAAAATGGTGTTTTATTGCCTTATCTTATCAGTGCAGTTAATATTCAAGGAAATAAGACAAACATATATAACACTTTGACCTTTGCTATCTGGGATAATATTTACTTTTACTCTTTACACATAGGACCTATGCGCTGCAAATGGTTTATGCCAACTGTGAAAAAGATGAAGTAATTAGCTCAAAAAAAAAAAAAAAACAGGGCAAAAAGACCTTCCCTTTGAGGCAGTGCCTGAAACCTGCAAGGAGTTGAGACCTGGCTGTGTTTTTGCCAGGGCTAAGCCAATTCAAACCCTCACCAAACCCACATGTGCTCAGCCAGGCTGACCTGGCAGCATCCAGCACTGACTCAGGTTTGCAACCACAGAAATGCACGGAGAGAACAACCGCAGAAGGGTCTGGGGGCACCTTCAGACACTGCAGGGCCTTTGGGAGAGTTTTGTAAAAATGAGCACAGAATGCAGGTATGCTGACTGCATCCACATCTCCCCGCTTCCTACGCACCACGAGGAACCTTCCAAAACGGCAGAGCTAACCAGGCCTCCCAGACGGTTCTGAAAGGCAGAAGACTGGGGCTGCATGAGGACGAGAGACGAAGGCAGAACTCTGCTCTTGGGATACTCTCCAGCAAAACCGCCCTCCTGAGAGCCCCCAGTCATGTTTGCAGGGAAACTGAGGTTTGCAGCTACTCCTGCTAAAATAACAGGCAGTGAGACCCTGGAGCAGTCTCTACTGCTGCCGGTTCCTTTGCAAGAAGCTTGCTGATCTGGGTTTGCCTTGGGCCAGACTCATTTTGGGGGCTCTGATACGGGCAGTAACCACCCCAAATCTGTTCATTTGGGAACACTGGTGTTCCAGAGGGATCCATGCACTGTGGTTTGGCCCCAGACTGCTGCCAGTGCAAGTCTCACCTTCACCCACACTTCAATGTCCCAGAAACACTGTGAAGGGCAGCTGTGCTGGGCCACGTCAGAGCAAAGTGCCTTTGGGAAGCTTTCCTAAGGGGAAAGGATGCTCTTCCCCTCACTTCACTCCCAGGAAAACTGCTCCCCAAGCCTGACCAAGTCACCTGATACTCACCAATGCGTGATCAAACTTGAAAGTACTGATGTAATAGGCTGGGATGTCGGCCGCGGCCAAAGGCTCAGAAATCCGAGCGACAATTCCACATTCATCTGCAGGGAGACAAAATACAGCAGTGATCATCCGAACGGCACCACCAGGCACCCTGGGGATCACAGAATCATAGAATCCTTAAGGTTGGAAGGGACCTCTAGAGATCATCTAGTCCAACCTCCCTGCACATGCTGGGTCCCCTAGAGCACGTGGCACAGGCTGCGTCCAGGCAGGTTTTGAAGATCTCCACAGAAGGAGACTCTACAACCTCTCTGTGCAGCCTGTTTCAGGGCTCTGGCACCCTCACTCTTTAAGAAATTTTTCCTTAAGTTCCTGTGGAACTTTTGGTGCTTCAGTTTATGGATATTTCCTCTAATTCTGTCAGTGGCCACCACTGAAAAGAGGCTGCCCCCTCCTCCTCACTGCCTCCCTTGAGGTATTTATAGACACTGATCGGGTCCCCCCTCAGTCTTCTCTTCTCCAGGCTGAACAGGCCCAGCTCCCTCAGCCCTTCCTCATAGGGCAGATGTTCCAGGCCCCTGAATTAGGTCCCTGGATCAGGGCTAGAACTACAGTATGGAGCCTTCATTGGTGATGTTTAGGCAACAGCCACAGAACTGGGCTCCTTGAGCAACTGCTGCGCATCGCACAACTGATTTTATTGACTCCTTTTTCTTCCAGAGAAATGCAAATCTCCTACGGGCACAAAACATTAGAACTGAAATGATTTTCAAAGGGCTCAAGAAAGGCAACTAATGAGATTCAGGACAAAAACAGCAAAACCTGTCTCAAAAAGCCAAACCTTCATTTTTCTCTGTATTTGCTCCTATTAAGCTACCTGCCATGCACTGCTGAGAGGTGAGAGCTGAACAGCTGTTTGACCTGGCCACATGAATGTTGGATGACAGACTGTCACCACCACTGGGGCTCAATAGCATGCCGATTTAAACAGCTCCTTTGTCCTGCTCATTTCAGGCCAATCGTACATTGTTTCCAGGTGAAATCTCACTGATTCAAATTTACTATTCTCACTCAGTTCTAAACTACACACCTAAACGCTGCACGTTTAAGAGACTGGCAGATCTTCTGAGGTCCCATCCACCAAATATAGCATGCCTGCCTCATGACTTTAGTAACCTTGAGAGCTTTCCCATGCCATCTTTATGATCATTTTTTGTCTTTAAATAGAGACCTAACTGCTGTAGCTGTGCCCCAAGTCCAGTGGATAGATGTAGTTTAGATGGACCTGTAGAATATGTAGCCCTTCCAAAAGTCTATATAAAAATCTGACCTGTTAGATAGGAGTTAGACTCCACCTCTTGGAAAATCTCAGCTCATGAAGTCATATTTAGCTGCTGGCTCTTCAAAGGCCCCAGTCCAGTGCCGCATATTTTAGCATCATTTTAGAAAGCCCCGAGGCACCTGAACTACCTGAGCACCAACTGATCCCCCAAATGTTACCTACCGAAGCCAAGCGGCTGCCCACCAATCCGCACCATCTTCCAGAGCTCTCCAGATGCACTTGTAAACAACAAATTATTAGGAAATCTGCAGAAGAAAAGGGAACACCAAATATGGCAATTAAAGCACAGCAGTGTGTCGGATCCTGCTGGCGGGGATGCTGCTGGTCCTCCACCCCTGCCCTGCTTGAAGCAAAAAGCAGCAGCAGCTCAGCAAACATGAACAGGGTAGAGGCGAGTGGCACAGATGCACCTGCCGGCCCCTCCACAGGTAAACACACATGTGATGCTCTGAGTCTGCATAAGCATGTGGAGAGCTGCAAAAGAAATTTGTCAAAACACAGTTTGCGCTCCAGCTTTACAAGGTCCTTGGACTGTTAATTTCGAGGCTTGTGCCTCCAAACTGTGAACACCTGGGGACAGAAGGTGCTTCCCCCTGACTTTTGGAGAAGTGTCAATGGTGACAACAGTGTTTGCGTCTCAGCATCTTCAGTGCTTTATTAACATATGACCCCAGGAGGCCCTGGAGATGGCCCTATCTCTTAGCAGGGGAAAGAAGAGCAGAAATGAAGTGACTTGCACAAGGTCAATATGACAGTATATGACAGAAGTTCCCCCGGCTTCCCAAGCACCAGGCTATTGCTTTAACCCTCCAGCCTCTCTTGAAGGCAGACAGAGCTTTATTCCAGGTACGATGGAAAGGGTCTCAGAGAGTAATTAGTAGCTTGTGAGCCAAGTCCTTAGAGCAGGCAGGTATCAAATCCAAACACAACACTGCCTGTGCAAAGCAAATCTCTGAACTGCATCTCCGTACAACATTTTGCCTCGCCTCCAGAGCTCGGCGAGCGATGGAAGGCTGAAGAAGTTCACAAGCACAAGTATTAGCACAAGCTTCTGATATTCTGAACTTCTTCAGCTACCCATCAGCACAAGCTGATATTTGTTCCCTAGATGACTTTTCGCCTTTCCAGACAAACAAGCCACGAGCTCCCGCTGCACTGGGATGACTCGGTGCATGACCATCACAAGGAGCCTCCGCACTAAGGCCAGCCATGTGTGAAATTCAAGTTGGAGGACAACATCATTGAATTCCTACCCTACTCTTCGGCAGTAAAATGCCAACCACGTACATCAGACTTTTTGCTCTTTCGTTCTGCTAGGGTTCAACCCATGAGCAACTGGATAAAAACATCAAAATCACTTTGGTCCAATGTCCCTCTTTCAAAAGTGAGAAAACCTTTGAGATTCTACATCACACTGGCTTTTGATTAGGCTGATGGTTTGGGCAGACAAGCTCAAAATTCACTTTCTCCATGCTGGACTTCACTCAGAAAAGCGACAGGGTGTACAGGCACATAAAACTGCTCCAGAGATGCTCCCCATTATTAACAAGTACGAGCTTGAATAGCTTCCTGTTCCTTTGAGAACTTTCCAGGTGCTTTTTTGTGGTGCAAGAGACCAAGGCTCACCTCTGCTGTGTCTGGACATCCATAACCAAGGAGATGTAGCCCTCAATGAGAGAAAAGGAGAAAAAGCGAATATGTCCCGAGTCTTCGTTGCCCACCACTGAGTCTTTTACTCTGAAGAGACAGCAGAGAATGGTGTTAGCTGCAGCTAGAAGGGTAAAAGAAGGCTTTAAAAACAGATACAGCCACTGAAATCAGACATGCTCATACACTGACTTAGGGAAGAGACACTGAGTCCTATCACATTTTACTACTTTTCATGTTTTGGTTTTGTAGGGGAAAAAAAATACCTGTCCCCCAATTGACTGTAGGGCAATTATGCATTTGCAGCATCTGGGCTGCATTGCTACTCTCAGCTTAAACCTGCAGACACTCAGCTTTACAAAGCCAGCAGACACCTCCTGTCCTATGTGGTGTCCAGCTAGCAGGGTAGCCCTCTTGGATGGGTGAATACACCCTTCCTAAGTGCAGGGGACTACAAGGCACAGCCCATTCCTGGGTATCCTGAAGCAGCAGTGGAAATTCAAGCCTTGAGACAGCGCGTGTGCCTCCCCGAGGAGCCTCGCTCCCTGGCATGACCTACCCATTGGAGTAAAACATGACATCCATTAGAAGTGTAGCAACAGTGGGAAGGGTATCTGGATCCAGGCTGGTGACGCAGAACATATTACTTGGGCTGGAAAGGGGGTGAATGACAGGCCTCTGAACTGCAAGAGACACACAGACACACACCTTTGTGAAGCCAAGCCAGCATCAGCATCACGTCCCACCAGACATTCATTAGCCCTGCACCAGTATCGTGCACAGAAAGCTGACAGTGTTTGTCAAATGCAAGAGATGGAAGGAGAAACTTCCTGCTAGGAACCAGCTTTGAACCTTTCGTGCCTATGGACCATCTATCTCCCTCCTTGGGAAGGCATGAGCGTGTGCTGGATAAGATGAGCTTCAGGCTCATACATGGCTCGTGTATGCCTTTTAAGAGAAATCTGGACTGTAGTCTGAAGATGGCTTTTAGTGGAGAGTAACAGATCGCCTTGTTGGCTAAGGTGTGGAAAACTGAGTTTGCTTAACCCTGAAAGAAATGCTGGGAGACTCAGCTGTATCCTCCTGCTCAGCCATGCCTGCTCCCACGCTGGTATTCCTGCATGCAATTATTAAACATGGCCACAGAACAAACTGCCATCCCTGTGCACCTGTCACTGTGCCCTTCCCTCACGCTTTTTGTACAAAGCTTGTTTTCCTAAAGGAGACCATCTACAGCTATCGAGTGATCAGGCTGAGCAGCACTTCATAAGAACCAATTGCTGCTTTGTTTGGCTAAGGGTGCAAAATTACGTTCAGGCACGTGGGTAAACATACATATTTAAGCATTTCCTTGCCCTTTTGTTCAATATTTGTTTCTGCAGACAGCAAATATGCTCAGTTTTTGTGTGGCACTGAGCTCACCATGGCCTCAATCCTACCTGATACTCAAGCATGAAAGTTCAATACCAATATTCTGTGTGCACCAATCATCGCAGTGCTTTAAAAGAGGTTTTTTCTAAGCTATTTACTCTTGAAATGATGAAATGTGGAACTGTGGGCTTAAGACAATGTTATTTTTGCTATGGAATACGAATTGTATTTTAACTTTCTGTTCTCTGATACGTGCAGACACATGAAAATGGAATTGTAAGGCTCAAATTCAGCAGAGCTCATCAGCATCACTCTTGCTAGGTTGTGCATGTTAAGGACCTACTCAAAGCCTTGGCTGAACTGGGGCAGACTCAGGTATGGCCTAAGATAGTTTACTGTCCTACAGAAAGGTAAATATTCACCAAAATGTTCAGATTCCTCACTCCCATCTAACTTACCCAGTTTGGGTTTGACAAATCCATTCGTTATACCCAGGTCATCCGCAGCCACCGTCTCCCCATTCACTACTCTGAGGATCGTGAACTCGGCAGCCAGGGTGTGCATCACGAAGGGCAGGTCTCGCTCACGTACCTGAAGGTGACAAGAGAAATTGCTTGTGATGAGACATGCAAGATATGAAAACATGCTTCAGTGGAGGCTATGCACTCTTAGGGCACAGAAAAGTAGACACATCATTCCTCTTTGACCCAGCACGTGCATAAGGAAATTATTATCCTGATGTGCATTTGAAGAAGCATATTTAGTGATGCTACTGCAAATATCAGTAGGATTAGGCAACACAGCAGTTTCAGATCCATGGAAAGAGTTCAGTGGACTTGCACAAGCTTGAATCAGCTTGTAGCTACAAAGGTGAAAGTGTTTCACCTCTTCTCTTCCAGCACCTTATCAAGAACTTAGCACTGCCTGTTCTTAAGACTTATTTCCTAATACATGTGTGTGCCATGGACAGTGTGTCCATCTACGAAACACCTTGAAGCCTCTTGGCCATTATCGACCAAACTGACAATAGATACTACTTTCCTACAATTCTTAGACATCATTTTTCTACTTCTCATAACCGAGTGAAGGTGAGAAATCCCACCATTGTCTCCAGTAAGGGAGAGACCGCTGTGCAGGCTAAGTGCTTTAATTCAATACTGGATAACTCAGCCAACAGTGACACAACAAATACCTCATCCCATCCATAACGCTTCTCAGATGTCAGAGAGCCTAACTGCAAGAGGCAGAGCTCTGGGGATTGCTGATTTTGGTATTTCTGCTGCTCCTCAAGCAACTTGTTCCCTGAGGAGTCATTAAAGCTTTGCCTGGCTGAACTTTCATTCTGGTGGAGCGTGCAGCATCGCAACCTGACTCACTCTCTCAAGCCCGCTTACCAAGATGAAATCCGTCTGATAGGTGGAGAGCATAAACACTGAGATGTTTTGGTCAGCTAGTGGTGCTATTACTGACTTGGCAATTTTGGTCACACCGATGGGCTGGGAGCTGGAGAAGCCACCTCCGCTGGACACCACGTTGAGAGCAAGCCATGTAGCATCTGCCACACTCAAGTGTTCTGAGGAAGGGAGCTCTGCAAAGAGATGGAGAGAAAGGACAGAAGCATGTTTTAGAGCCCAAGAGAGACATTGTCTGGTCCAGGTATGGTTTGCACAGACCTCAATGCCAGGAATAAAATGAGCTCGTTTATCCAGCCTACCTCCCTGGCTTTCCACACTGCTTCACAGCTTAGTACCATACTCCTTTCATCATGTGCCCATGGCATCATTTTCCACTGCAGATTTGATAAATATGTGCAAGGATGATGCAAAGAATTACATGTCTCAGTCATTTGCTAGAATGCTAGGACCAGCACTGTAGATATCACCTGCAGAGGTAGCCTGAGGCCCCTGACTCAAATCTCTCTCCTCATCACCTGATTTCTCCAATTGCTTTCCTGTCCTTCCTAAAAAGCACATAGCCTTTCATGACAGCACTCCAGTCGTGTGAACTATCCCGCCATGTCTCTGTAATTCCAAGGAGATCATGATGCTGGGACCACACACAGATCTCCAGCTCGTCCTGTTTGTTCGCATACTGTGTGCATTGGTGTACAGGCATTTGAGGGAAGTATTTGAGTCTGAAGGTTTCCTGGGAGGGGTGAAAGAGGACCCTCTATAATCACACCCTAGACTCATTTCACCACTAACATATTGCTGCCACTGGGCACCTTCTGACTTTGGCTGCATCACACTGTCTGTGTCACACTCCCTGCTTCTTGCTTAGTTTAAAGCCCTCCTAATGAGCTTGGCTGCCTTTTGGCAAAGACCAATTCAATACTGGATAACAATGTGTACGTTACAGAGGCCAAGAGTTCAGGCTCAGCTCCTGAGTGCCGCTTTCATTGGCTTGCCTTACAGAACTCAACCTCAGCCCCATGTGCCCCTGCAGATGTGCCCACCGGGACCAGAGCTCTGCCAAACACACGCAGAACTACCAAGGGCGCCGATGCCACCCGACAACTCAGTCTCCTTTTCTAGCAGGGGGAAGCAAGCTTATCGAAAGCTCATCCAGCACTCATGTCCTCACCCTGAAAGGTATTACTATTTTTATATTGTCTCCATACCCAGTTTCTGACTTTGCCCATCCTCTCCTGGTCCTTCCATCATCTTCCATACAGATGTTTCTGCACAGCTCCCGACACCAGGTAATAAATTCATATACTCACTGCCCCACAGACCCTGGGCACTGCTGCTGAGAGATGACAAAGTGCTGAAAACCCTAAATGAACCAAATAACAAATAGTGCTTGCTTTGCTCTCCCCAAAGCCCACAGCTGGGCACGGCCTGAAAATAAACCCAAGTAAACACAAGGCAAAGAGTTGGCCTGCGGATGACTGCGCTTCTGCACTCTGCTGTTCAGGTTCATAGGCCAACGCTGCTCTTCCACTGAATCATCAGAGCTTGCGCAGGAGGAAAACTAGACGCCAGGGATTGGGGTAAGTTTGGGCATCCGTCAGCAGCAGCAGGGTACTGTGGAGAGAGTAATGCTCACTGAAAATTGTCACAGCAAAATATCATTTGCCAAGTGGACAGCCTTCTGCGCCAGCAGAGAACCCTGAAGCAGAGCCCGTGGAGCAGCAAGGGCTCGAAACAACCTGTACTCAGCTAATAAACAGCTGAGGCCTTTTCTCCTCTATTCCCACCTCTGCTCCCTGCCTGCGAAACAAATACAGAAAAAGAGAAAAACAGTGCTTGTCACCAGGACTGCCGGGAGCTTGCGCCTTAGCTCCTGCTCCAGTGGGCCCCGCTGCAATTCATTAAATGCTCTTTGGGGTCAGGGATGTGGTGGGAGAGGTAATGTGTCCTGGGGCTGGATGCACTATCCTGCCGCTTACGGAGCGCTTGGCGACCTCCTCCCCGCAGGGTGGAAAGGCTGATCTGCCCATAATCTGTAGCGACTGGGGAGCATTGCTCACATGGCCTTAAATGGCTTAACAAGCCCTTGGGAACTGTGACAAGGGCCTTCAGTGACCTGTGTCCCCTAATGCAGCTACTGTCGCCGAGAGCAGACAGCCCGAGGTGCGGTTTCTGGATGCCACTTCCACAAGGCAGCGGGATGGAGAAGCACAACCTGAACTGCAGTGAAGCAAAAGCAGGTTTGAGGTTACACAAAGTCATTTCAGCAGCATCAATCCAGCCATGGGGGACGACGCTTCGCCTTGGAAGGTGCTAAACAGAAGCACAAGGAACGCAGAAAACAGCACGTGTAACCTTAGCACATACTCACTGAGAGGGAACAAGGTAGTAAATAAACATCGAAATAATGAAGTGCCTGTTGTTTGGGACCAACTCATCCATCACAACCATCCTGGCAAGCAAAGAAGGGCCATGGATTCCTGCTGTCACTTCGCCCATGTTAGCTGGCACTGAAATCCACAAACTTGCATGAGATGTGACCCATCACCTGACATCGCATCTGCCTCGAGCATGATTTTGCCCAATACAGCAGTTTCTCTCATCCAAAATTCCCTTTGGTGCATAAAATACGTGTTGTCCCCAGGCAGGTGATATACAGGACATGACTCCTCCAGGGGAGATGTTCAAGGGAACCACTTATTCACACCATGGGTGATTTAAAATGCCCACGGTCCATCCTGAGCCTCCCTGTCCCACTTGGCACACGTGGCTGAAGCAGAACCACCTCCACAGCAAGTGACACCCTGGGACAAGGGGTGGCGAGTGTCACATTGGCCATAATTGGCTCCTAAGTTCAAATAATCGATCCCGGTCCCAGATAGGACAACAAACATTGGCTGAGGCCCAGCTATGAATTGAGCTTGTGCCTCCAGAGCACTGTGAGATGCTGCAAGCCCATGCTCTCCACAGCACTTTCACAAAACTCATTTTGTACAAAACACTGGCCAGATAATGACACTTCCACCACAGCGGTCTCCATTAGCAGCTAAGGGGACTAGAACCAGGGAGGAAGGTCTGCTGCTTTCCAGCCCAGACCTATGAGTTGGTTCTGCAATTCCTCTGCAAGATAATGGGAAAATATCAGTACTTTGTGTCTTTATTTTGGAGAAAGACTCATTAACGGTCTACTAGCCTCATGCAGCCACCACCAGACCTTTTTTTCCTCTCTGTACCAAATTTTCATGGGTTCAGGTTTCTTCTAAAAGGGCTACAATGAAAGGTAGGTGAGGGAAATGAAGGTAGTGAGTTCATTTGGTTCTTTGGTGTGGTATATTGTCTCATCTCATAAGCACTTATTTTCACTCAGTATAGATATTTTTGCATTACAGCAGAGTACTAAGTTATTCACTGACTTCTTTTGGTTCTGCTACTCCAAAGGAAGCAGTTGCTCATTCAGTTTATCATTACAGGGTTTGTGTTTGCAGCCACTGCTCTCTGAATGTTAAAGAATAACAAAGTCAAAAAATGATGTGTTTTTTGTATCAGCCTTCTGGCTTTAGGTCCCTTGCACCGCACTTCTTCCATCCTTCTGAGCTGCCTTCTGCAAAGGCGTCAGGTGGCACGGGCCTTGTGTTGCAACGACATGTGGAATGCTCTTTTCTGCAAGAGCAGAATGGCCAGGCCTTACAAATAAAAGCTCTGGGAAGTGGAAAATTTTGGAAAAATAAAAACAAACGCAACCCTCCACTCGACAAGCCTCTGGTGCCACGGCTGGATATGACAGAGAAGCAGGAGTGGCCGTATGCGGGGGGACTCCTCCGGCTCAGCAGCTTGAGCCCCTTCCACGAACACACTGCTGCTGTTGCTTTTGCAGCTGCTTTAACCTCAGTGCTTACGTGCCTCAGTTTCCTATCTCTAAACCAGGCACAAAATCCCCCTGCCTTCCTCCGAAGCTGGCTCTCAAAAACCAGCTGACCTGTTCGGCTGAGATTTATACCCATTTCACAATACAAAAGGCTGTAGCCGGCAGCATGGAAAAATTCTGCTTAAAAATCTTTTGACAAAGATTTAAGTGTTAGAGAACAGGGTGAGAGTGGCGATTGCTGCAGCTTTCCCAGGACGTAAGTGGAGAGGATACGGCTGGGGCCACTGCTGCTCTGTGGACCTTGAGGATGGATCTAAAGACAGCGGCTTCACACTTCCCAACGCAACAACACTGTGAGGGCAACAGAGGGACTTGCTTCTCATGGGACATTTCTCCTTCTGGTCATTGTGCACCGTCAGAGATTTTCCTTTGTTTGAAGATTAAAAAACTATCTACCTATGGTTCTATATCAAACTTGACAATGAGGACCTCAGGAGAGCCCATTTCACCACTGCTCTCCTTTGCATCTCCATGAGCTGCATGACCCTCTCCCAGCAAAGCTGATGGAGATGCTCACCTGGATGGGGGTCAGGAGAAAGGCAGATGCTCCCTGATAAGCAGCACACACCGCCACATATCTACATGTATCTACATATCTACTATCCTCATTATGCAGCTAGGGAAGGAGTATGTGCTAATTAAAATTACTCTTTGGGCTCAGCACGTCCTTGGTGGCGCTTGCACAGAGCACAGATGACGCCACGCGGCTGACTGATTTATTTACATGTCTGGAGTCCTCCCGGGCCTTGCTTTCCAATTAAGGGCACAGACATGAATTTGGGCTTGTTCCAGCAGCTGGATACGCCCAGCTGGCATGGAGGAGCCGAACCAGGGACTTTCACCTACTGCAAATGCTCTGGTTGCTTTCGCTGCTTGGAAATGCATGGGAAGAACCCAGCTTCACTCCCTAATCCAAGAGAGAAAAACACCTGCGGGCTCTGCAGAACAGGGGGGATTTTTGCAGAGCCTCCAGCAGCGTGAGCCTGAATCGCTCCCAAATGCAAGAGCAGGGATGGAGGAGAGAAGCCACTCATTTCGTAAAGGAACAGACAGAGGTAAACAGGACATGACCAAGCGGGCCCTTGGATTCCCATCCCCGGACTGCAGTTAGACTTGAAGTGCTCAGCCTTAGTGGCCATCCTCCTTGAAGCCTTCGTGGCCGGACAGCGAGAGGGCACCAGCGTCTCGCCTGGAATGCCACAGGAGCCTTTCTTTGCAGGGAATTCGAAGCAAGGAGATGAGCACCAGCAC